CAGCTGGTACTGGGTCAGTCTAGGTTCTGTTGGCTGAAGGTTTAATGGGTCATGGTGGAACCAGCTGGTACTGGGTCAGTCTAGGTTCTGTTGGCTGAAGGTTTAATGGGTCATGGTGGAACCAGCTGGTACTGGGTCAGTCTAGGTTCTGTTGAGTCCGTTCAGTTTTCTTTCAGACAGAGATTTATGGATTCTGGGTCTACAGTCCTCAGGGAGGGCCTGTGGGGGTCTTATTAGTCCACTTGTTCTATAAATACCAGAAGAGTTCTGGAGAGGATGTAAGCATGTCGTCATGGTAACCAGTTCCTCCATCCCTCCCAAAGAGTCCAAACCAAAGAAGAAGTAAGATGAGGAAGTGGGACTATGGGTCCTCACACACTGACACACACACACACACACACACACACACGTGTGTGGTTTCTGGTTGAAAATGTGTTTCCTGATTTTTGGAGGTTTCATCACTCCGACCCCCCCTGCCCCTCCCAACATGAAACCTCAGGACTGCAGGACTTTCTCCAAACAGAAGCAGGAAAACCTCAAATCTGCAGATGTCAGAGTGTTGAAAGTCAAACTTTAAAGACAAAGCTTAGACAGTAAACAAACAAACAAACAAACAAAGAGTTTGGTGCTCTGCTTCTCTTCAGATGTTTGCAGYGGTGGGCGACCCTGGAGAAGACCTGTTGTGTTTAAACCAACAGGAGCAGAAGATCCAGATCAGGGTCAGGTGTTCAGAGATCCACTGTTGTGCAGATTCATCCTCTTCTTCACTCAGTCTGATCCTCTCCTCTCTCTCTCTCTAAAGTCCATATTACTCTCAGGGATGCACCGATAAGAAAACTTCAGCCAACACCCATATCGATTAAATTATTGCTGTTATGGCCGACACACAAATTATACATACACGCACAAACATAGTTGTGTCTTTTCTTGATCCAGTAAACAAACAAGCAGACCTCTGACATGACTCTACTTCAGTTATTTCTTGCTACACAGCATCAATATCACCGTCATGATCAGACAGATGCTGCTCAACCAACCATCTCCCAAAACACAAACACAAAGAGAAAAAGACAGAAATCAATATCAGACATTAATATCAGCCCAGTTTTACATGTCGGACCGATACTGATGTTCTAAAAATGAGCCGATATCCATATGAATGCTGACATATCATCCATCCCTACTCTTAACRGTACCTAATAACTCAGAACCATCCTCCTGAACCTGATCCTTCCCTGACAGTCCTCTGTTTCTGCAGCTGAAGGAGTTGATCTGGTAAAATCAGATCTGACCTCACTGTTGGAAAACATTTTGTCTTCCTGTCACTTTTGTTCCTGCTGTGTTT